TGAATATTGATTGTTAATTGTATGCAAACCAATTATAAAAATATATATAATTAAAAAACATTTTTTGATTATTGATAAACAAACTCTAAAAGCATATTTTATGATATTAGTTCGAGTGTTATAATTTATTTTGTTTATGTTAATTATTATTAAATATACCTATAGCTATCTATATACAAAAAAAATATTATTTCTGTTATGTGTTACAGTTACAGGGCCGGCCGTTGTTACGTAATTTATATGAGGGATCATAATTAATGAAATTGACAAGATCAATTTATGTATAAATACTTCCCAAACATTTTTTCTTGCTACTCTCAAAAGTACTATTGCATCAAGTTTTTGATTCGTCAATCCCATACTATATCTATTTTAATTTGAAATGGGTTATGGGTGTCATAGTATTATACTATCATAGAACAATAACTATTGCTTAATGCTTATAACTTATTAGTAATAAATATAACAAATAAGTATTACTTCGTACATTTAAGTTTTTCGTTGAAAATTCAGTTGAGCATCATTAAAGAGGTTATTTGTTATTCCAAGACTAATGTCTTTACTCTAATATGATTACCATCATGTATTTTTATTTCATGTTTATGACGATGTTTAATTTATATTATTTTAAATAAATAAGTATATTAATAGAAATTTGAATATTATTTTTTTTCAAACAGATACACTGGTTTTCTGTGATAATAATCTAATGGCGACACCTACGAGTAAGAACACCTTAACACCAGATTTAAACACTGTGAGCACTGTTTGCACTTGAAAAAAAACCCTTTTTGGTTAAAATCAAGTCAAATAATTAATTGAATAAAAGTTTTCAGTTACTCTAAGTATCAGTAACATGTTTGATGGTTGCCACGGCTTTAGATATTACTATCTAAAGCCGTGATGGTTGCTTACACAATGATAGGTACTGTAGGGCATGCGGGCCGCCGCGCCACCACCCAACATCGTCGCACATCGTTATACTTTATGCCATGTAATGCTAATTGAAACTGCTTACGAGAGCCTATTTAAGGCCTTACTCTAGCCTAAGATGAAGTTTTTTTAATTTAAAGTAGGCTTGAATCTAAAAATGTAGTGTAGTCTTCACATTTTAACTCTAATTAATCAATGCGATGTAAGAGTTTGAAAATACATATGTAATACTAAAGTATATATATTCACATGTAAAATAAACGAAGCAAAAAATAAATAACTAAAATAAATAATTAAGATAGGAACTAGAGACCGCAGTCCATAATCTCTAACTTCTTAAACACAAAAAATGAGTTAATTAACTAACGATTAACCAGATGTCCCTCTGAAATAGCTTGTCAAAGTGTAAAAACGTATAAAAAAAATCAATGCATTTTAAGAAGCAAAAAAAATTAGAGACAATTATACAAAAGGTATAAAATCTGATGACTACAGTCTGAAACCTCCAGATTTTAAAATCCTCAAAAAATACTCACACACCATTACACCAACTTTAATTATATTCAGATAAAATTGTAGAGTAAGTTTGGTCTATAATCTCTAGATTTATACAGCCCTAAAAATTATGCACAATAATTAGCTTATTAAAGAATGACTATTTAGAGGTCTCCTCGAGATAGCTTGTAAAAGTTTAAAATATATATTATAATAAAAATTCAACTAGAAAATCTACATAAAAAGATCAACTAGAGGTAAAATAAAAAAATTAGAAATGGAACAGAAATTAAATATAGGAGCATATTTTGAATAGAAAAATGATACAACAAATGATTTATTTGGGGTATCTAGTTTTCCCAGGGATAGCTGATCAATGTTTGAACAATTTAAACAAAAAAAAATTGAAAGGGGAATGTGGGTGTCTGCTGGCGAATTTATTTTAAGAAGCAAAAAAAAATGAAGCAAAATTATTTAGTAGATGTACTGTCACCTGCATCTATGATCTCCAAATTCATACACCCAAAAAATTAGTCACAATAATTATTTTTTAGCTTATTAAGAAACGATTATTCAGAGGTCTTCTCAAGATAGCTTGTCAATGACTAGACTGCAGCAGTCTCTATTTTCTTGCTTAATTAAATTTTTTGTTAATTTTTAAAATACTAAAAATCATTGTCTATTCTTAGCTGTAATTTACATTTTAATTTAATGGCATTTTAGAATATTAATGTAATATTTTGCTGTACATTTTGTTTTAATTTAAACATTTTTTAAAAACCCTTGTCGTCTTATCGATTTTTCTTTGCGTTCAGATATTCTCGTATTTTACTGAGTACGCAATATCGGATACAGTATCGTACACACATTACTATGATACTTCATTCGCCGGCGGAATGTGGTTATTTCGCACATACGAATAGAGCCGAGAAGTTTGGATTTAGTTGACTATTTTCTGTCAGTCAATGGAGTATACTTGCAATGAGTTAAAATGGACAAAATTGAACTTCTCGGTGATGTACCTATTTTGCCTATACAGTTCGCCGGCAACATTTTGTTTGTGCTAAAAATGTATAACAATAAATTAATTGTATATTACAAGCTTATTTAAGTCAAATGGTTAATTTTTTTCTAAAACAACAATATTTTAATCTATAATATATTAATTTAGTCAACGTTATACAAATTTAAAATTAAAAACAGTAAACCTAATTTAAAATATTTCATATGAACATGTTAACAATGTTAATAATGTTACAACCTAAACATTATTTTCCTGTATTTTTTATAATATGGAACTGTATAAACTTGATACCAATAAATTGATGTCAAAACTGAAAGAATTATCAATAAAAGTTAAAACGGGTAATTAATTTTGTTTTTTTCCTTAAAATGTTTTGACAAGTAACCCAATTACCCATCTTTCATACAGCATAGTCGACACTATGAACTATTATTGTGGTAGGTACCTAATACTTAATAGGTCCATGGTACTTATAAAATAAACTTTATTTTATTATGATAGTTCAAGTCTCATGAAGATTAGTTATATACATTGATATATAAAACAAAAATATCTAAATATAGATTTCTATTCTTCATGGTAATGTATAAAAAAATATATACCGAATGCATGTATGATTTACCTATAAATATAAACCATAAAAAAATCTGTATTGACCTATGTTAAATGTTCTGTATTTGTATTTGCTTTTGGTCCGGTACAGTAACAGTTCAGATATTACCAACCTCCGGGCTATGTTCATATTTTCATACATTCATCATACAATTTCTATGCCTAACTAATGAGTATTACATACATTTTTGTATATGAAAAAATGAATGCATTGGTTTATTTATAATAAATTATGTTTTTATATTGATTTCAAAAACTACCATTTTGTGCACTACTAGGTTTATAATTTACAACTGGTAAGGCACATAATATAATTACCTATTTACTTAAAAGTAAAAATTCATAATTATGAAATGAAAATTTAATATTTTAAATTATGATGTAGTTATCTGTATGAAAGTAAATAAATGTACCTATGTTATAAATATTTAGTTCCCCTTCCTATTGGATATAAAAACTAAGGAATGAGTTTACCTCAGTAACATTACTGAATCATTTAACCTATGTGATTTTTAATATTTTGTGGAGGAGGTATTAATGTATTAATATCATAAACCTTGACCTAGTTGGCTAGTTATCATTTATTATTTAGTAGGTACCTACTACTTATTAAAAAAAATTACATAATATTGCAAGTTAATTACCACAAAAAGTATAAACTGAGTAACGGTGCTTAAATACTTACAGTTGTAAGTGTGGAAATCCTAAAATATACTTATATTCTTTAACTTTTAAAAGTTTTTGACTTTGATAATATAAATGAAATTACTTTATATTATGTAATAAGTAATAATATTATAATAGACTTAACTTTTAAATTCTAGTTAGATAAGCCAACCATAGTTTTAGATCAAAGATCAGAGGGGGGGGGGGGTAGGTAATAAAATACAATTTATATTTTATTCTTAATTTAAAATGTTTTCCCAATATAAGTATAATCGAATGTAATAAATAAATTATTGATCAAATATTAAATAAAAAAAATTCAAAGTAACATTCAGATCTATAGAATAGTAAAAAAAAAATTGGAGAAATAATATATCTGGGTATTCTGGGCCTCTATGTCTCCGAGATAATTATTTGGTTATAAGCAGAATCTGGATTTATAAGAAATTACATATTTTTATTGGCATTGTTTAATGGGAATGAGAAGTATGGGCAACTTGCGTAGAAGAGAATGCATAAATGCATATTATAGTAATTTTTATTTTCACTGTAGACTATACCAAATACCTGAAATACCAATAACCAATAGTTAATTTATCTCATTATATGTAACTATGTGGTGTTATACATACATTTTTATTTTATTGTTAACTATAAGTAAAGTTTGTTTAAATATATTTGTGAATAAATATTTTTAAAATTTTGTACTTTAATTAAAACATTTGGAAATGATAACACTTTAGAATTATTTTCATTTCTTAATATAATATTATCTATGATCATTAAAATAAATAAATTTTTTTTTAATTTTATGAAAACTAATGTTTATTTATTAATAATTTCCTATAGAATAGTATGTGCTATATTTATTTTTATTTGTTTATATAATTATTTGTCTTGGAATAATTTATAGCTATAATAATAATATATTTATTTTACAATTACTACAAAAATAGACTAAGAGCATATCAAATGCATATAAGCTTTAATGCATATTATTTGATGTGTTTAGTGCCTTCAAATCTAGACCCAAGCTATAAAACTTAAAATAATATATTTTAAGTAATGTATAACAATTTGGAAAAAGTAAAAAAAACGCATCAATTAACTCATAAAAACTAATATTTTAATTTAAGGCACAACTCTTTAAAAATATATAATATATATATTTATGTAAACTGATGACAAAATAAAAATAGTATCAATGTGAATGTTTATAGTTTTATAATTATTTATCTACAATAATGTGTAAATAAATAAATAAACGTTGATCATAAATTTAAGTATTTATGTTGATAAATTAACAATAATTTTACTGTGATGTAAATTAACAAAATTGATCATAAGTCAAAAATAGTCTTTCTGCGTGACTTAGAAGCACACCTTAAATGCGACCAAACAAATTGGTGATCTTAATAAATATTATATTATATGAACATAATAAACATATGATTTGTAATCATTATTAAATTAAATAGATAAAGTAAACTTTAACGTAAGTGTTTGTGTGTAGCATGTGTGTGATCATTGAGAGTAGCCATTCGGTTTAAGCTTTGAGACCGATTTCTTCTACAAGCTTATCGACAATTTCAATATATTTAGTTTTAGCCTCATCGTTGCTTGTGCCTTTCTTTGAATTCCATGCTTCCCATTTGGCTTTTGCTTTGAAGTCCAAAAACCCAGGTTTGGCTATGTAAAACATAAAAAAATTGTTACATCGGTACACATAAATACTATATATTTGTATTAAGTCTTATTACCTGTATTAACATCACCGACAGTTGCTTGTTTGTAGAACGCATAGAGTTCCAACAAATTGGTATCGCTGGGAGTTTGTTTCAAGTTCTTCACCTTATCAACTGCTTCTTCGAAAGACTGCAAACACAATATATTATAAACTTAAATGTTCATGTAATAATATCAGTAAGATAGAAGAATTTTGGGATTTTAGAGTGTCATACTTATTGATTTTAGTCATTTCACAGTGGTTGTACACACACACACACACACACACAGGGACATGATTATTTGTATTGCAGATGCACCAGGACCGGCTTAAGCCCTTAAGACATGTGCAAGTGGCAAAGGTGGCAGCAATTTCAAGATAATTAGGAGCGTCATTTAAACCTTAGATGTAATGGAAAAAATTGTAAATCACACCGGGCGAAAAGTACATAAGGCTGGCCCTGGATGTAATTATTGTAATTCAAGACACATCTATGGTAAAACCCCGAGATATCGCAATAGCCGAAAATCAACAGGTAAAAAGCAATGTTTTTATATTATTGTACATAAAATATTATATTAGTATGATGGCAAAATAAATGAAATATAATATTATGGTTCGAATACGATCTATCGTAAGTAGGTACTTACCATGGTGCGTGTTTCTGAGATCGGATTGGCGTGAGCGATGTCGGAAGTGCACGTCAGCAATACGTCAACGAATTACGAATCTGAGGAGACTGCGGTCTGCGAGTAAACTACAGTGAAGAGTTCGAAAGTCGGCTAAACAGTGGCGGCGAGTGATGAACTGCTGACGCGGACTGCGAACTGCGGAGTGGTTGGTGATAACAACTGTTGATAACGGTTGCAGTCTACGTAGTGCATACATGATCGGTGGCGGCGGCGGCGGGCGGTCGTCCGTACTGACTACGTGAATACCATTTATCGCGCGTACGTGTACGGCCTATAAAATGCGTGGAGTGGTGGTCGGTGTGCTCTGAGTTTCTGACATTGGAACGAGAAAAGGTCACGCGCGAGCGCCGGTTAAAACGCATAGGTAATAATAGTTTTAGGTGGTTAACCGGTTAGGTGGATATTATTTAAATAACTAAATAACATTATACACACTAGCTGATTCAATAATATTTCAATATTATGTATACTGCACGCATACAATAAAATTACAGTTTTTATACCTACAGGTACCTTTTTTTTTTTGCCTTTCGTCCATTTTCATCAATTTATCTGTTAACGTGGTTTCATCTCCACTGAAAAATATAATGAACAATAATATACCTATTATTACTACTACATCGTAGATTCTATAGTATAGTGGTATAAAGATTTAAGATTTGAAATAAACACCAATATTGTTCAAATATTACATATCATAGACTTTTGACGCGGCACATTTTTAAAAAATATTTTATTATTTGTTCCGGTCAAAATAATTAAAATCGAAAAACCTATGTATAATTGGTTGAATTAAATGCAATAATATTAGGTATCCATACAGCATACAGTAGCCTACATACATACCTATATTATAACAATGTAAATAATTATGTGTTGATTAACAAACATGATAAGTACCTACCTAATAGGAAATCCGGTGTAAAAATAAATAGACATTTTCAATTTTTTTTTTGATTGTGTCTATGATTTTAATAAAAAATTGTTATTCGAGTCTAAATAAAATATTTTGTATACAAATATTTAATTATGAAAAAATGATATTTTAATATTTTGCGTTTTGAACAATAGGTATTCCTACCACAAGCTATTGACGTATGTATGCTTTTTGTATAGGGGGTGTGATCAGTAGAGAAAAGTAGAAAAGGCTAACCTTTATTGACAAGAATTGGACTTTTAAAATGCTTATGGTACCCTAAGAAATCAAGGTCATTGTATATGAAACATAATTTTAGGCGAGACTCAAGCAGTTATGACTAATTGCAATTAGTTACACAAAGTCACGAAGACGAACTATCAACTATAATCTAAATCATGTACTTTTGATAGTGCGATAGCTTTCTAATGAAATTGTAACAGCTAGTGGTGTTGGTGTAATTGAGAAGAGCAAGGATGGCCCTAGGATTTTTGAAATGGGGCAAATGTATAATTTTGCCCTCTTTCAGATATGCCAAAATACAAAATATGATTCTTAAAATCTTCTAAAATAAAGAAAGAATGCAATAAATTTAAATGTTTAACATTTATTTATAAGATAAAAATATTATTTCCTTATATTATTGAATATGTATATATTTAATAATATATTATTATGTACATTTATTTAAATGCACGTTTTTCCTGTTTTTAATAATATGTTAGGTATTATTAACTTTATCACATCATGTTGGTTTAAAAAATTGCCCAATAATATTATTTTATTAATCATCATAACATTTTTTTTTCAAACAAGTTGTACCCATCCACTAAGTGTTATTGCACTTTTTAGATTTTAAGTGGAACAACAAATGTATGGATTTTCCAATGTGTGTTTTTTTTTGTATATGTTATTATACACAAGATCTTGCAGGGAAGTTCGTAATTTATACCGCTGCATAGATAATACCAATATGTATAACCATGAACCCATCCAATCGTGAGGTAAATGTAACGAAATAATTAACATCGACTTTTTATATTATGCATGTGTACTCTGGGCATATTTTTTGGTGGGAGGGGATGTGGGGGAGGGATCCCCACATAACCTTTTTTTGTATAGGTATATAATATTAGTGCGAGGTCATTACTCTACAATTTATCATAGAAATAATAAACATATTATACCCCTCCCCCCTCAATGAAAATTCTTCCATACGCCACTATTAGGTACTTATATATAAATTAAAGTAAAATTGTACTTGGTGAACTTAATCACGTCTAGCCAGTGGGTACTATAATGAACATAAATTTTTTGCCTTTCTAGACTTATGAAATGGTTTTTAATTAAGTTGGAAAAAAATCAAGGTTCACTTGAAATGAACTACTTTTTAACATTTCCAGAATAGACCGAAACCACGAATTCTATAAAGTATATAGAATTCGTGAATAATTCTGGCGGTCGTGTAATATTGAAAAATGTAAACGTAGTTATGTCCAAATCACATGGTCATATTAAATTACATTATATTTATTTTTATTATATCAGATATTTTTTATGTGCTTATATAAATAAATAATTTTATTAGTTTTATTAAAATGACCTGAATACTGATTGTCGGTAATTTAGGTGTCGGCCACGGTTATCTACAGGTGTTGATAACCATAACTATGGATCGGCAAACTGAGAAATCACAACGTATACTGTTATTGTTTAAATTTTTTAAATTTAATGACGGTGATACATCTTGGTGTATCCATAGTACTAAAAGTGAATATCATTAGATACCTTATTAAAAAGTTTAGTTTTCTTACTAGAAAAAAAAAAGAAAATGCAAAATATATCCAAATATGGAGATTTCAATAATAATTACTAAATAATTTAGTATTTTTGATAAAACGTTGATATACCTAAGTACACTGCAGGTATTTTTTATCATTGGATATTTTTTGTAAATAAATAAATAAATAAATAAATAAATAACTATGAACATCATCAATCACTAATCGGGTTTATTTTACTATATTAAATTTATCTATATATCAATATATCATAAATACCTATATCTACAGCCATAATTTAAATCTCAATAGAATAATATATATTCAACAGCTTCAAGAATAATTATTTACAATTAGACGTTTTAATATTTTGTTTTGTTTAAATTACTAATAAGTAAAATGTGTACATTGTACCTACTACCTGCGTTCTATACACTTATATTTTCACAAAAAATATGCATTTTCCTTACGTTCAGTTGTAGATAATAAAAATTGATTAAGCTCACCTATTGACTATATGTATCCACGCAATATACTATACATAAATAAGTTAACTTATAAATTAGTTTAATTAATATCATCACCATAATTACCATATTCGTATTATACTTAACGTTAATGTACAAGCTACCAGCTGATGCGGTACTTTGCCTGTATGCGTAGGTATTAAAATATAATTAACAATTAAAAACATTAAGTACACTGGACAGCCGTATTACTGTATTAGTATTGTTGTATCTATTTTTAGATGCAATGCTCATATATTGAAAATTGACCATTAATACAGTATATATCGTAAACGTATATTCATTAAAACAATATGAAAGGATGCACAGTAGTTTGAATAAATTTTATGTATTTTCAATAATACCACTAACTATAAACAGGAGCGATTATACTTGAAATGTTGGTTCATACTGAGAAACTGAGAGCGCAGTATATTATAGTCTATATATACTCTACGGTCGGCTACGGCCTACGGATAATAATTGTGAAGCTGTGCTTAAATGGAATCAAGTGAATGATTATGATACTGAGTACTGACAGAGCATGGACAAATTTGTTGTTGATTTTCAAAATCCAAATCCAAGTTCAGCACATACTTAATATGTTTTCAAATTCTTAGATTCTTTAAAAAGATCTCCAAAATCCTATAAAAGCACACTTCCAAAAATGTGTATTATTAAACTTCATATTTGCTTAGATTTTGTTATTAAATTAATGTGTACCTACCTCAATTAACATGTTTTCCTATATGTAGCAAAAAAAAAAAACAACATTAAGCTATATGAACTTACGAGTCTTGCAGTTACAATCGTATTAAATAATACTTACCCACAAGTATGAGAAATATCGTGTTATAGTACAAGGCTTGAATGTTAGATTTTATAGAAGATAAGGGATGGTCTGTGTTTAAACAAATTGGTGACTTCAACGGATGAGAGAATATTATTATTTCATAATGTATAAACCATAATTATTATTATTAAAATAGGAACTACATGCGACATGCGTGTATTATATTAACAGTTACTTTTCAACCAAACAGTACACTACATACACACTCACATTTGTTATTTCCGTAAACTATACAACAATATCGAAACAATGTATATGCTTTTTAGATAATATTATAATACTCTTATAAATATACGTAAATTCATTTTATTTTTTATAGAAAATATTATATCGTTGGACAGTATCAAAATATAATTTATTCCTGCGTAGGAGAATCAATAATTCCCAATTGAAACTAGATCATCTATCACAACATAATATTTGACAAAAAACTAATACTTCGTTAATAAAAGTAAGCAATATTTATGTAGCGCTGTAATTATGGCCGAGTAGACGAAAAAAATATAATAATTAAGTTACCTACATCTGATTGATCGTATTAATGATGATTGATGACGATTATTACTAACGTATGGTATACGTTACATAATTGTGTACACGATGGTGCGGTGCGTCTGTAACCGTTTAGTTATTACAGTAATACAGTATTATTTATTAGTATATTATTATTATACTGCAATAGAAAGCCAAAAAGATACAAATCAACATTTTTTTTGTTCTTACCTTTGTTATTACCAAGGTAGTGAATTAGTATACTCTAGTAGGTACCTATTTTAATTCGCCGCCTTGTTCTACTAAATATTAACCCGACCAAATGTACCATAAAAATGTTTGCCTCAAAAAGATAATAGGTGATAGTGATCCCCAGCTAATGTATGTAGAAAACCAAGGAATATAATGGATTAGGATAGGTGACTCAGCTAAGTAGGTACATTGGTGTTTTTCTAGACGAAACACTTAACTGGAAAATCCATAGCAACAAGAAAATCACGCAAGGCAATATCAGAATGACAAATCTCTACCCATTAGTAAGCAACAAAATCAACACTACCTACAAATAAGATCTCTAAGCTACATATTGTCTATGATTTAACTATTTTAATCCTATCGGAAGACTTCAAAAAGTCGGTCCATAACTCCTTCGATCGACGACTAACAATTACGCAAGATCATTAATTTTAATTATTTTTATATTCATAAACTCTATATTTACTTTCATTATACCCAGTAAAATCAATAATATTTACTAACGTTATTCGTATCATATATACTAAATAGTTGCGATACAGTAAACCATTTATTAAACTTGCAATATCATGTTATATGTTGAAACATTTTAAAACAAAATAGGTATATTATGTATTTTTAAATGTTCTAGCATTTTACTTGGCTTAGAAATGTACCTCTAAATTTAGTGGACAGTCAGAGTTATATCACTACACAAATAGTTCAATATTACTGTCAGTATAGATTTTCCACAAAAATTGACCTTTCCTTTTACCACCAGTATAGTAATAGATTACTCTACGATACACATTTGAATTTCCCGGCACAACAAATTTCATTTTTAGATTTTGGTAACCCCTTATCGTAAGAACTGCTTCATTCTATAACATTTAATATAATAATATTTTCACAATCTGTGTTTTTTTCCTCATTAATACAGGAAAGATAGGAAGATGACGTAATACGTTAGCAATAGTGAAATACATCTGAGTATATTATGATAATTAAGACAAAGTGTTATTTTGATTTTATTTATATTATAATTTATTGCACCTATTTTATTATTTTATCAAATTTCCACTTATAACTTAAAAACGTTTTCTAAGTAATTAAAATTAAAATTAATTATTTATTTAATACATTTTGATATCATACACCTAATCTTTTGTATTAACTAATAATATTATAAGATACTCTTTATTTAATACATTTTTTTATAGCAATAGAGGTTACCAAAATTTTAAAACTATTTGTTGTGGCTGAAAATGGATATATTTATTATTAGACCGGTGGTAAACGGACTTTGTGGAAAATGGAAAGGTGGGTTCTAGTGGATAAATGGAGCACCCCTGTCAGAGTGTCAGCATAACTATAACGATCCGTCGGCAGCACCTCGCTGATATTTCCATTTTTGCCACCATACGTATATAATATAAATATTTAGTTATGAATGTTATGATATAAAATGATATTATTACATGTGAAAACATATGTAACTGTATACGATTCAACGAAAACGTTTGGACTCATAAATTGAATTAATTAACATGTGGTCTGTGATTTAATGAGGCCAATCATTGAACGAGTGAAACAGGTTTGGATTTTTCATACCTAATACAACTATAACCAAACTAGAATTTTAAGTACAACTAGTACAAGTAAAATCGATCTAGTTACTTTGAGTTTTTTACTAAACTATTATAAAAATAAAAGTATTCCACATAGGTGGATGTACCTCAACTTTATTCATTAATCACATTGTTTTTCGTAGTGAATAAATATTTCACTAGAAATTAGACTGTAAAATATGTATTCAAGATCTAACCTATAATATTATTGTAATTATTATTCTAGTTATATCTTGTGTTGTGCTAGAAGAAGATTTCTAAAAAATTTATGTTTGTATATCATTTCAAGTGTTTTCAGTTACCGGAATTAAACCAGTCAGAAATCTGAATTCCTGGTTCCCTCTTATTACGTATATAAAAGTATGGTTTAACCATCACATATTTCATGTTTAGAAAGTCGAAGCATCAAGTGATTAAATAGAGATAAAATACTAAAAAAATAAAAAAAATAAATTAGTGAGTCATTCAGACGTTTTTTGTCAACAACAATAATAAGAACAATTCGAGCAACGACGTCACGAGTCATGACGATAAAACATATTGTGAATGTGGGAACCTGCAGAGCTTATTTATATGCAACTATTTATACAGAACTGTGCGTAAAATAATAAAATATTTAAGGTATTTGTGGCAACAAAAACATTTTTTTAAATTGGTTTGTTTTAATTTTATCTTTTCTTATTATTAATGTTTAGTTTTTCGATTTATAATTAAATCAAAATTTAACACACCCATTATAAATTTGAAAGATTTACTGTAGACCGACTCAATGGTGAGTTCTTTGGTTTTTTGATTTTGAGTTCACTAAATTAATAAATACTAAAATATGAATGTTCATTGTTATAAACTTATAAAGTTATACTTAATAATTTCAATATAATAAAATGTACATAATGTATTATTCTTGATTATTTTTTTTATAAATTAATATATAACAACGATATTCTCAAAATAATGCTCAAATACAGTTATGAATATTTTTTTAATACTTAATAAATAGACAAATAAAAATAACAAGTAATATAAAAATAAAAATATAAAAGTATACTTAGAAATAATCCTTCAAAATTTAAATAATGAAATTATTCCTTACCTTTTTTTATGAAGGACAGCATCATAGGTTTTAAAGAGGAGAACGGACCATCCCCTTAAAAGTTAAATTTGTTCATCGTTCGTTTTTAATATTGACTGTTGATGTTATTTCATATTATAAATGAAAATATAGAAAAGAAAACATTTTATTTATTTAAATTATATTGATTTTTGAATACGAGTGAACAAACAAAGCAAAAAAAAAAAACCATACAATAAAAGGTACATTATAAATTTATAAATATCTTAGTATATTTTTAGGAATCATTCCCTGTATTTGACAACGAGTTCTTCCATTTTTGCAATATATTTTTCTTGGCAGTCTTCTTTGGAAGTGCCTTTTAAATTGGTCCAAAACTCCCACTTTTTTTTGCCTTTCAAATCAAACATGCCGGGTTTGCCTATAATATTAATACAAATATATTAATATTATACACTGTAATACCAGGGTAAGTAAATTCTTATAAATAGGAATAGGTAGGTCGTAGGTATGATGTATACTTAAATACATAAACTATAGTTCACTATAGTGAATCACATAATTTGTTAAAGGATGATACATTTGGTTTATTTTACATTAGTTAAGATTTTAACTGTCAAATGTCAATAAAAATAAAAATTATATTATAGAGTTACAATTATTAAGCATTAACAGACACACCTGATTTTCTATTGAGTTTATTATTTTTAAGTTTGAAAACTTGTTGGAACATGAATAGCTATAGAATATTTTAATCTCAATATTTTGCCAATCGTGCGAAAATATTATGTACCCTTATTATACTCGAGCAATTTTTAATTTGTACGACTGTACGAGTTTCGTGAAGTGTCAAAAGTCGCACAAAACGTTAACAAGTGCATACTAATAAGTAATAAATAACGTTGTTCGTCAGTAGCGGTCACCATAGATTTAATTTTAAATTTAGCGTTTTGCTGTATAAGGACAATAAGTGTTATATAATAGAGAAAAAATAACAGAGTTAATGTATGTAACGACAAGTATACATGTTCACTTGTTGATATACACGAGAGTTACTGGTGTATTTGTGTAACATTAATAGTATAATATATTGCAATAAAATGTTGTATTAACTTGGTTGAAATATTGTGTAAGCCTGTTTTTTTGTGCCGAAAATCATTTAAATTTTAAAGTATTGTTTTTGTATCTCATTTCACATTTTTTGATTTATAAAAAAATCCCTGTTCCCTATTACGGTACTTAATATTTTGCCCACACATTTCTGATCACCCACTGCTCAGTTTATCAGCTTCCCGGATTACTAACAATTTTTTTAATCACCTTTAAAATTGTTTTTAATATTAATGAGTTGAATACAACTATAACATGAAATGCATATCGACCTAAAGTTGCTAAGTGCTTAACTGAATCACAATAATTGAGCATAATTAAAAATGTATGATTGTGAGCGTCTTAAAAATATATTGAATATTTATAAGCCGAGTACTAGGCAGGTCGTGGTGACCTTTATTTTCAAACTTCTTGACGGCCTCAATCGATAATAATTTCACTTTACATAGTCTATATTTCTATAACGACAGTACTATTTCGACCATAGACACATTATACAAACATTTAAATTTTCTACACAAGCATCATAACTCACACAACACAGATTTATTAATATTTATTTTTTTTGTTTCTCATATTATACTGGAGTATACGCAATAATCCATATCGTACGGTGCGATACCAATAATTGTCATGCATTTAAAATTAAAAAATTTATGTTTTATTAACTATGCATTGCGCATTATAGGTACTTTATTGTAATACTATAAAATATGTTCTACTCTACTTCACCGTAATTTATTTTTCACGTCTGGGCGTGTCTATACAATAAAAAAATTAAATAATACACAAACACAACGTCACATCGAACACATATAATATAATAATAATAATAATAATAATAATAATAATAATATATATGGCATATTATACTAACTGGTGTCGTTGTCTCCGACCGTGGCTTGCTTGAAGAGGGCGTACAGTTCCAATAGTTCGACGTCGGTCGGTCTTTTCGTGAGAGTTTTCACTTCTTCGGCGGCCGCTTCGAAACGCTGTAAAAAAAAAAACAACAACAACAATCAAAACTAGATGCCGAAATACACACGCACACTTAACACCAAAATAATATACCGGATTGATAATAACAACAATAATATCATACGCCTATACATATATATTTAGGTATACATACCGTCCAGCTAACGATAATAATATTATTATTGGGGCCGAACGAGTTTTTTTCTTACCTCGAACGCACGAACACATAATAATATTATTATTGTTATTGAACGTGAACGTACGAGCATTATTTTACGTGATGATCAATAGCATAATATACATCATGTATGTTTTGTATATATATAAGTGTGCACACGGAAGAGGAAGAAATCTCTCGCTTAAAGGCTGTACATGCGTATAGCAGGTATATATACACTGTATACGATATGACATCGTATTATATATATATATATAATATATATAGGTACACCGCAGAAGTGCTGCTTTTTCGTTATATATTTATTATACAGTTTATACACACGCCTGATAGGTACAACGAAAATAATTGTTTTTATTTCTCAGAGTTGTTGACCTCTGGGGGCTCCATAATACAGGACGTAATGCACTTGGAGGTATACGAGTTCACGAAGCTATCGTACACGACTGTTGTAGTTGTTGTGTGTTATTATTATATATACATACACCAATTTACTGTCTAGTGTCTGTATGTATACGTTATAGGCACACGGACGTTAGAAAATAAAGATATTAATAGAAATAGATAGGCTTTTGACTTTAGTGACATTATCCCTGACGAAATTTGAAGTAATATTATGATGTGCACCTGCTTACAATAATATATACAGCGCAGGCAGCGGTAATAAGGTCGTAAACCTACAAAACATTACATAATATATGCCTACTTCACGTCCGCGAACACTGTCTTTGATCGTTTTGAAATCATTGTGATTGTGATACGTTTTGCACGTCGATTCGCATATTATAGCATTTAAATTATTTTATATAACGTTCCGCCCGGTATTATTCCACAAATAAATTATGACGTATTAGTACATTTAGGTACATGCGTAATGCGTACACGTCAACGGTCTGTTGGATTTTGAAAACGTACCTACGGTGATTTTCTGGCTTTCGACAGTTATTATTGCACTTATTATTTATTATTATATTTTGTAACTCTGTGGTCTGCAGTTCGTAACTACATTTAAGCGCGTGTTTCCACGATTCTCGCAAAGAGAAAATAATAATAATGGTGATAAAACTTAGTAATGCATAAGGTAGGTGAAACGTATCTAATACCTAAATGGCTAAATACCTATGTAAAAAAAATATGTTATTATAATAAAATATGACTGCAACGTTCTAAGCTTTCACGAAACGAGTTATTAAAGATTAAAATTAAATCGGTAACTCTTTACACTACCCACACGGCCACACACTCGTGTTAGCTTTTATCCATTATAAACTTACGATAATCAATATTGTATTATATATTATTATGCATTATTCGGTCAGGACGTCAGGTAAAACTGTAACTGACATTGATCGGAGCAAAAAAAAAAAATAATGTTTCATGCAAGACATATAATTGAAATTCATTATGTATAATATAACGCGTAGGTTTTAGACCTTTGTTTTAATTTAAAAGTTTCAGTGGTTACTAAATGTTGAAAACGGTTTGTTCCAAAAATAAAATACGACGCATAATATTACAGTCTCATTTGATTAAAATAGCATATGTTAAGCTATAGAGATAGTCACGGATCGTAAAATAAAATGTTATCTCATAGGAATTGATTAGCTTACACCCCACGGAGTGCTATACGTTTATACACAATTTAACATTGAGATCTTCTGACGATTGTAATCACTGCAATGTGAGTAGAAAAAATATGTTACGTTATTATACCACGCATTTAAATGCATTTAAACTACGTAAAACTAATTAATAAGAAATGCATACGTTAATACGCTACATTAAAAATTATTGACGACACGACGTATTGTTTAAACGTATTTTATAATTATTATAATTCGAAATCGCAATTATAGTTATTAAAAGTCATTAAAATAAAGAGAAACGCATTTTTTTAATTACAAATTTGAAAACTGAGGATGAACAAGCAATTTTATTTTTGTCTAATCACTGAAGAGAAGAATTATGAATTTTAATAATAATAACGTGCCTAATGCCTATACGTTATAATGGTAATACTAATAACTACAGCAGTTGCAGTATACTCAAACAAAAACTTAAGACAATAATACTTTAAGGACTTTTATCACCGTGGCATAGTGATCAAGTTACTTAAAACTTTACGAAAGAGTTCCTTTAATTAATGAAAAATTGCTTGAACTCGCTACAATAAAATCAAAAATATTCTAATGAAAGTTGAGCTGTTTCTCGTTCGTATAAAAATCATTAATAATTTAATCGTGAACACGAATATACGATAAGAAAACGGTTATACATATGTGTAATAAATTTTCTTTTATAACCTATTATAAACTATTGACTCATTGTTTTAAAATTAAATTGTAGATATCAAAATTGATAAAATGTTTATTATTTTTAAACGCACCCAGCGCTGTTTTATTATTTATCGTTACAATTATTTACCTCTTGTAATGTAGCCATGATAATGCGGTAGTGGTGAATGGTTGTAGAGATATTCTGTATTTGCACGGATGTACGGACGAAAATGCACTGCGCCAAGCTTCTAAAATCTGCCGGTCGGTCGATCGTTGCAGAGTGAAATGAAAACGGGTTTAGAAATTGTTTTTACCCTTACCACTAGTTTACTGTTGTCTACAGTGTACATGGTACGTACAAATATACGCATTCACCTGTAGCCGTGGGTAGCGTTTGAGTAAGTATGGCATGGTGTGACTTGAGCATTACGTTGAAATAACAACAAAATATTAAATGCAAACAATAAAAACTGCACACAGACTCATTTATACGTATTATACACTGTTTTTTCTCATAAAAGTTAAAATATACAATATGTATAATTGTTATTAGTTTTAATAGCGGATAATTAAAAATATTTTATTTCGAATCGCACTTGAGCTTTAAAAACATATTTTTTTAACTGCAGACACGACAATTATTGTACTTACGTAAATTATTACTATTGTGTATTATTATGCTATACCTGCGGTAACTGGAAATGAAAAGAATTTTCAATCTAAATGATCCAAGTCAATTTTGAAAATTGATTAATCAATCCAACTATTTCAAGTTATATTACGTTAAAAAAAAACCAGTACAAATTGTCAATTACAGTAACTTGACGAATAAAATTGTAAAATTGATATCTAAATCATTAGTAGAACTATAATTTAGGATAAAAAGTATGTGAATGCAAGAGCCCAGAACCTTACAAATGCGACATATTAAAAATAATTATAACATCCCATAACGTATAATTTTATATAGTAAACTAGCAATTAAAAAATTATAATTATATTTTATATGTTTACTTATTATGTACCCCCATTAGTATGTACCTAGAAAATCTCAGGCCGCAGTTTAGAACAAATGTCTACCACTAGACGCAACAATAGAAGCCACCCGATAACAAGTAGCCTTGATCACTCATAAAGCCCTCTACCTGCCTTAGAAAATCCCATAGAAAATCAGATCAACAGTTTAGAAGATTAACTTGGACGGAGATAGACATTTGAATATTATATAGGTATTGTATTAAATCTAGCTTTATATTTAAATGTATCAAAAATGAAAAAGATTTGTACGACACTGGTTATACTGTGTGGCAATGTATGAAAGACGCTCATGGCAGTCAACTAACAACTTGTTAAAGGCCATTTTAAACTGCCAGCATATTATTCATACAGTGATTCGAGGCTGACGAGCATTGTATAATAAAAATAAATATTATAGCCAATTTTCTGTACTAGGCACGCACAGTGATTTTGGAAGATAATATATGACATATTAAATTTATCTCATTTCCATGTAAAATAAACAAATCATCTCCAGTCACTACAGCTATATAATATATAATTGCATTTTTAAAAATAATTTTTTATGAATTAACATTTATATTTTGTACGTACCTCAATGTCTGTACTGCATTGGTTTAAATATGCCTTATTACGTCTTATAAAAAATAGTTTAATGTCTTTAGAGTATAATATAAACCTATATTGCAATAAAAAATCAATGGTGTATGGTAAAGCAGGTTCTGAATTGAACAGATTCATTCGAAATATTAATTTAAAAAAAAATAAGAATCTGAAATTATGAAAAACAGTAGTAATTGCTTTTTTTATAATATATAATTGTACTCAGTTTCCAAATCAGGAAATAACAACATGTAATGATTATAATAAATCTTACATTAGAAGAATTTAAAATTATTAGAGTAACCAAAAGTTAGATGTTTTTGTTTAATGTTGGACTGTTATATTGTAATATGAGATGGAATTGCCATGTATCAAATATGAATTTGCGCCTACAAACTATTATTTATTTAAACATAGTTTGAACAATATTCTTTCTTCAGATATTATATAACAATTGTGTATATATCACTCTATCAGTCTATTCTAGAATGTGGTGAAATTATATGGAGATATTATACGAAGCACCTTAGTCGTGTCCCGTAAAAAAAGTTTGCATGAATTGCGTCCAACTGTATTGGTTAGGTAGTGGAATTTTTATTTCCAGGGGTTATTATATACCTCAAAATATACCTCAAATGCTGTCTTAATAAGACACATCTGATCGGATATACTAAAGATAATATTATAAAGAGCTGGGTATATTTCATCGGTCCTCTTAATTTGCTGTGTAAAAAATATTCTCTATTTTTTATATTAAAAAATCACACTCAATTAGATCCATATTTAAAGTAAACGTGAAACATTAAAATATGTTTTAAATATTGGACAGACATTTGTTGACTATTTGAGACCTTCGTACCTATTTCAATTGTATAAATAATAATTTTAATTACAACAGTATTTATTTTAATTTAACAACATTTTCATTTTTAGAAAAAGTTTTACCTATGTATATTTTAAAAATGTGAGGCTGGAGAAATATATGTAATTTTGAAAACCCCAATTTTTTCAACTCGATTATTCGTAGTTTGTTTGGTGTTTTTAAAAATCTTTACAACCACTTGTAAGCCACATTTGGGTTGACCAAATTCCAGCACCTATTCTCCAGTCAGAATTTTGAAATGTCGAAAAAAACTTTTTTTAGTTTTCTTTACAAATGAAAATGTTGGTTTAAAAATCTTTAAAAATGACTTTCTACGGAGCTGGGGAAATTTTTGAAATTTTGATAACCCACAACTTTTCATGTGTAAATCTGTAGAGTTTTTAAAATATTAGGACTTCTTTATTTTTTGGGGTCGTGAAAAAATTACACTTTGATAAACACATTAATTTGACACAATACGTTACGTTTGTACACAGATTATCATTAGTTTTATACATTTTTTTAATATCCAAAATATCAATCTGTTACCAAAATGTAAATACAATACTACATAATATACATGTACACTGCAGTCTGTAATATCTAGACAATATTAAACCAATAACAATGTAAAAAAGTGAAAATAGTTATGAAAATGAACGTCCATATTTCTCGTAATCCAGTCTAACAAATGCATCACCGAACTCCTTTCGTTCTTTGATCAGTACGCTGGGCAAATATTTTCCACCGTAAATTATTTTTGCGATGGCATGCACTAAATTGTTTTGTTCTTCTGTTTCACCGTGTGGCAAAATGTTCGACAAAACGTACATCATGACTTTCCCTCTATCATCGGACACGCACAAGTGCTTACCATCCGCTGTAAATTCTAATCCGGTACACTTTTGTTTAGGGTTCGGCATTTTTTGTACAAATATCGGATCATATTTCGTCACACTTAAGTCCCAGACGACTATGCAGTTGTCTGAAAAACCCAACACATTGCTAAATAATTATTACACAAATACTATAATATGTTAACCACTAAAAGTGTACGAGAATGAGATAATATGTTTCATAAATTTAATTTACTAAAGAAGAACCGGACTGAATTAAAATTAACCACCGAGAAAAAAGGTGTCAAATAATAATTCTTTTGTCTCTGTCCTGGATCATAAAAGCGGTTAATTTAAATTCGGTTTATAGTCACATATAGATTGATATAGTTAACAATTTATTTTAACTGATATATCAAACCGCAGGATAAATGTATTCGAAACCAAGGTAGATATAATATTTAATAATAAAATAATAATCTATTCAAATGAATAAAACAGGTTGAGGTAAAGCACAATAGTAAACAGTAGTTTAATCTTGGAAATTAGAATAATATTTAGAAATACATAAACATTAGGTACAATAAATGTATTATACATAAAGTTATATTTTATACGATTGATTAATATTTCCACTAAAGATGAGAAGAAAAAATCTTCCAACTATTTAGTTGAGAGTTTAAACCTTGTTAACCTTGTTTGAAACCTAATCGAGGCTTCGAATATTTTTTTTATGTTTATTATCAGTATAATATTTCTTTCATCAAGATGGTTAACTTAATTGCTGCAGTGGACGTTGAAGTATTGTTGTTCATTATACAAAATAACGTATAGTCACGTTTGGACAGGTTTGTCAAAAAAATTATCATTACTAGAATAATAACTACTTTTACTTACACATGAAATATATTTAAAATAAATAAACAAAGGTAAATTTATAATTTCAAATTTAAATTTTCTATAAAATAAGATTTTTGAGATTTTAGCTATTAAATATTTTAAATAGGTATAATAATTGCTTTAAAAATATATTTCTATTCTAACGACTATAATTTGTAAGAGCTTATAAGTTTTTACTTATTAGTTATTAGTTTATTACCCATGTATATACCAGGTGATTCTTTTATAATTAAACACACATTTTTTTGAAAAGTATTCACGTTTTTGAAAATATTTTTTTCCTTATTCGAAGATAATATTACAAAACAATATTTAAAAAAAATGTATCTTTGCTATTTTAATTGTGAGTAATTTATTAAATTTGTCATTAGTATTTTAAGATTCCGCTTATTTAGCTTGAAAGTAATCCAATTTAAATGGTAATTACTTGTTTTTACAGTCCATATCTTAACTTCTTTATTATATTAAAATATAATATAATTTTTTGTACTATACTTCATACATATTTGGGTAGTCTTTAGTGCATTTAAATTTGGGATGTACTTATATTTAACTAATTTTTATACATTTAAACCCAAAAAATTAATCTGCTTCAGAATTATTGCAATTAAAAATATATGCTGTCATTCAAAAAAGTAAAACACATCAAACTTATAACGATAAAAATAGAAAAAGTTGCCTTATAATTACTATGAACTATTAAAAAAAAATATATTTCCAAAAACATTAATACTTAATGATAAAATGAGTATTTATCTTTAAAGGGATGAATTACCTCGTAAATATATACTATAATATATTCAAAATTATTTCAAGCATGTTCAACCCCTTATTCTTTTTCAATAATACAGTTATTCAAAATTAGATTTTTAGAATTTTTTTATATTCTTGAAGACCATATATTTTCAAATTGTTGAGATTTTTATGCTGTTCAAGCCTTATGGAGTGGCCTGTGGAAACACAAATTGCTGTTTTTCAAGTAATCACTCTTTTCTACTGTAAATTATTTAGTCCACTATTTTCCTTAGTATAAACATTTAAATTTTCTGAAAAACTACTCATTTGAATTAAGTATTCTAACATTTAAAAAAAAATTATACACTTAATAATTTACAGTAAAAAGTATAGGTTCTTATTTAATTATAAAAGTTTGTATTGGCACAGATCACTCTTTAATAACAAAAAATCACAAGAAATTGAAATATGGGCCTTTTGTATATTTAAAAAATCCAAAAATCCAAAGTATCCAAACAAAATTGAATGAACTCATTATTATAGGGTAAGCATACTTAGTGAAACACCCAGTATATTATATCATATTTTTTAATACATAACTATTATCCTATGTATTTGGCTAATAATATGGTATATTACCAATAAGAGATGCTATAATTGTCGAACATGACCGGCTCCAAATAGCTTTTTCGATTTGTTTGCCAACACTCAAAGTTATTACTGGTTCAAGAAAAATATCTCCGATCCAAATGTTTATGTTGCAGTCACAACCAGTTGTTAAATATACATCCTGAGAGAAGGGAGATTTTTCCAACGATTTGATAACTCCGAAGTGAGAAACAATTTTTTTTGGACGAGTCATCAAATCGTCATATAAAAATGAGTAGACAATACCGTCCGCAGTGCCCACCAAATCCGAATTTTCGTTAAGTTCGATAAATTTAGTTACGCGATAAACCGATTTATATGTGTTACTTTCGTCTTCTTGTATCAAACTATTAGATAGTTTCATGACTAATTTTTCTTGAAACTTCCCGTGCGTAAGACAATAACTTGAAATACCACCATTTGTATTGCACGCCATCTATATGTAAGCCAAGAATACATTGATTTAAACCTTGTGGTGCACACAGCTAATTATTATTATTTATTATACTAACTAGACATTCTAATTTGATTTCATGTGGTATTTTGTTTTCGATGTTGGTGGTCCAAAAAAGATCCGAAATGCTGATAGTTTCCAACATAAGCTTCGTGGACGTTTCAAACTCAATTTTGAGGTATTTTGTAGAGATATCGATTATTAATATCTTCCCGCAGTCAAATCCAATGGCAAGATTATTTGGTGTTTTGACGGAGAACTTTAAGCACGTAATAGCTGATGTGTTGAACTCGTAGAATCTAAAATTGATTAAATTATATTCACTAATCAAAGACGAAAGTCCCGAACTGCCCAGTAGTAGCCCAGATGCACTGTAGTATGGAACTAAGTACCTACATCAACTAATTTTTCTGACATTTTAGCGTACCCGTTTATAAGTGGAACGTATTATATACCTATATTAATAATAAGTACGTATATGACATGACAATTTATTAAATTTAGAAATAATAAATTAATAGAGTAAGTAGTGCGATAAAAAGTTGAAAAAGTCGAAATAATAAATTGTAATACTCATCACTCATCACACTTCATCGCCTACCTTTTCCCAACACGCAACATATTTCTTACCTTTCTGGGGTATGTTGATTTTTCGTACTCCACACGGCTACGGCTGCGTATTGCTTGTCTGTATAATCGGTGTACACAAGACTGCTGTAGACGACGGCCAACAAGTGTTTTTCGGTCTCGTTCCAGTGCATACATCTGACAGCTTTGCCCTTGTCCGCGTCGCCAAGCAACGTCAGTGTAAAACAGTACTTAAGACCAAAAACTTTTTGGTTCAAGAGTGAATCGTTTTCGATGGGATTCATCTTCTCGATTTCGTTCGACCAAAATAGTTTGACGTCTAACGAGTTTTGGGCCAATATCCTTTCCAAAAACATTGTCGTATCAGGATGGTTGTCCTTCTCGCTCGGCTCGGCCTGATATTTGTCCACAAGTATGTCATGCTGAATGTTCACATCACTTGACCCTTCATCAATGGTCGATGACGGGATTTGGTTTCCTTTCATGTTAATCTTGTTAAAAGTGTCTATTATGTTGAAATTGTGGACCTGAGTACCAGCTGTACACGTGGTGACAATCGAAGTTTGACATTCCACGTCTTCGAGGTCCGCGAGAGAATTGACGGTTTGCGAGATATTGTCGATCTTGATGCGTGGCTTTGCTAGATTATTTAGATAAACTTTTTTCGATTTCTGTAATTTTTCATAATCTCCGTCTCTGAAATAACGAAACTGAATCATAAAATAGTTGGTAAATGGCATTCTACGTTTTCGGGAATTTTTTTTTTTTGTAACAAATAAGATTACATTGATAAGTTAAGAAACAATTTAATTAACTCTCATAAACTATATCGCCATTTAGGTACCTAGAATAAATTACCTTAATTAAATGGCTACTATAATATCTAATAATTGGCATGAGTTGCAATTATGCATAATATTATGATATAAGTTCTTGGTTAGTCCTCAATAATTGGCTACAAACGATAGATGATTCATAATTATATTTATAATTTCACTTAATTCAATCAGATAATTATGGTAACTAAGATTAATAATTGATACATTTTCTATATTTTCAATTAAAACATTATAATAGGGAAAGTAGGTCTTATACCCTTGTGAAATAGTAAAGACTTTCTAGATAATTTATGGTTCAGTGAAATTTTCTGAAAACTTCGTAAAATAGTTGAGCAAAATGTCCAGAGGAAAATCTAAACAACAGCCAATACATTTTTTATCTCTACAGCCTTACCCTTTTACGGTAACACTGCTCGGTACGTTTAAAATGTTAAACGTTGGACTCTCAGTAAGTTCAATTTCATAATTTTCGTCACTAATATTATTTTTGGACAAGAGAATATTTGGACCAACGTCGTATTTGTTTTCATTCAGACCTTTTCCATCGCGATACTTGTGTTTGGTAAATATGTTGTCAAGTAAATTGTCAAGTGATTTAATATTGAGGTGACGAAAAGTATTGAGGTGATTTTCTTGTTCTTGTTCCATATGAGTAGTAGTCCACGTGTTTGATAAAATTCGTTGATCCAACGAGTTTTCATTAGAACTTATAAATTCATACTTAATATTAGTTGGTTTCTGAGGTGTAACATTAGTGTCTCCAAGATAAAATTCGTACAGATTAAGCTGTTGATTTTCGATAAAATTACTTTTATTTGAATCACGTAGGTTGACTTTAATTGGTGTAACCACTAATTTTAGGGACATTTCATCGCTGGGTTTGTTTTGTCTTGATTCGTTCATATCCATATTCTATCAGTAATACAATTTAATAGGGTTAATTATCAATGATAAAAGTAAACAAATAAAATATTCACGTTATTAACCGGTTCTATTATAATTAGTTTTATTTTGTACTATTTAATTATTATTTAGTTCATTGATTTTATATTTGAAATTGTCATAATAAACAATAAACATTATTTTTATTTAATGATATTAAACACGCTTGGTTTTTATAAATTACATAGATACTCATACACTTTAAGTATCGTGGCAATTAATTCAATACAAAATACATAAATATTAAAGGTAGTCTGTAAATAATTATAGCATGAACTCAATTCTACAAACGATGAATAAAATTGCATAAGGTAAGTATAATATTATTCATAATATTATCACTAGGGCCCGGATTTATATGCAAATGCTTATTCTTCTAAAATTCACCTAGAATAATAATTTTGATCATAAATGACGACGTTTCGTATGTGTAGATTCTATGATTAATTTTTTTTTTGCATATTTTTGCATATTTGAAAGCAAATGCATATTCTTGCATATTATTTTTGGATAGTTGCATAAATATAGCACATTCTACAACTATAATAATAATAATAATTTTAATTCTATTTTTATTCATCAATTACATATGAACAAATACCTAAGATCGTGATTATTTTACATTGAAAAGAATAGTATAATAACTGCGAGGAAATGGGATGTGACGAAGACTAGGAACTGTCAGTTAAAGATTTATCTAGTTCTAAATAAGCACCAATTGTATTTTGTGATGTGGAAAGAGGTTTTTCTATGTACAAAAGTATTCATCTAGATAATCGTAGAAGTTATCAATTCGAAAACTTAAAATCGATTTGTATTACTTCATGTTGGTACTTGCACCATAATAATAATTGAATATAAATATTATAATACTTTTAAACACAATTTCATAAAAATTATGTTATACTTACTGAATTTTTATATAATAATTGCATACCTAATACTAGTAATACTTGTATATGTACCAAAATAACACTTTTATACCTACACTCTGTTTTAAAAAAATGTTATTTTAAATTTTTTTTAATACAATTTTTTATGCATATATTGAGACTGTGTTATATTTTTGTGAAAAAATCATTTTGCATATTTTTCGCATATTTATGATATAAATCTACATATTTTAAAGATATGTATTGCATATAAATCCGGGCCCTAATTATCACAATACGTTTCCACAATCCTACTTTAAAGAAAATATCTAATTTGTAGAGCACTTAATTTCAATTATTCAATATTTGCATTACCTATTTGGATCATTTGCATAACATTTTTTGCATTAGTTTAATATCTAGTTCTTTAGAATTAATTAAATTCTTCTATCTATTATATTAATGAGAAAGATATAAAGGAAAACAAATTTTCTCAGTAAATTGTATGTGTACTTCTGATTCGGAAGTTTTCTAATCTTTTTTTTTTATTACGATTGATTTTATCTTGTTTTTGTTATTTATGGATAGTTTTGTTGACGGATTTGGCGGTTGGGATGACGCAAGTTGCAACACAACAAAAATATATTTTCGTACGGAAAAAAAGCTAGAAGGTCACATTCATACATTATAAGGGGTCCGAGCCGACGTGTTTTTAGTACAAAATTTTTCTAACAAAAAAAACTAGCAAACATCGTCAAATAATTGAATTTTTTATTTTTTATTATTATTAAGATACAGATCGATTTTACAAATTCAAATTTCAGAAATTGTAATAAAATAATAAAATCAAAATCTGTCTCCCCTATTAAGTTGTGATCGTTTTTTCTGTTAAGTCAATTTTAATCTTTGAAATGGTTTGATTTTGATTTTTTCTTTGCGGTCTGTTGTATGTTAGCCTTGTATGCTGTAGCGTAACTAGAATTTTCTCGATTTTTGCCACTTAAGAAATAGCCAGTTTCGAAGTCTTTATAAGTCTTATAACATTACAAATCTTCACAAACGATATCAAACCTCTTAAAAACAAGTATATTTGAAAGAATTGTATTTAAATCGTTGTCGTTTTAATATTTTAAAGTGAAGTACGCGGTCAGTTGTGTTCTGGAAATGATGGGTAAACTGGGCGGTATTTTGGTGACTTGACAGTGAGTCAGTATTTTCTGAATTCTTATGAATTAAATATATTTTATTGGACACATTAATATGAAAATGGATATTACGGTCACTATTTAGTATTTTCATTTTTCAAGCCACAGAACATGGTTTCAACGATTTTTATATCACATTACTGAAACGTAGAGGATTTAGGTCTTAAAAATAAATATTTAAATCACCTTGGTTAAAACATAGTTTACTTGGTATTGAACTATTAGCCGTCTTTAAAATTTAAATACGTCTGACTAAAGTCGAATAAACAGACTATGGTCTTGTAAAACGATAAAGTCAAAATACCACATCTCCGATTCATCAAATACATTATACATATTTTATCAAGTACATTCTCCTATTATTTACATAAAACAATTGTGTTTTATTATTTTTGAAAGGTTTGTTGATATTATGCTGTGGTTCTTATTTATACATAATATTATTATAGGTTGCATTTTGTGTA